AAAAAAAAAAAAAAAAAAAAAAAAAAACAAAAAAAAAAAGAAAAATCTTGTTTAGATGGCATTGCGACGAGAAACACAATTATTAATCTCGCGGATTAATCTATTTTATAGGGATTTGAAAATATGATCGAAACTGAAATTCCGTAACAAAATGCATTTTATTCGTGGACGTTCGACGCATGAATGAAGCATAATGTGGAAATGAAAAATGGAACGAGAAGGGAATTTTAACAAAGCGATACGAAATTGTCACGGGCTTGCGTCAAATAAAACAATAAAACGTTTCTCTTGGAAATCTCGTAAAATGATTTTGTCGAATAATCTACGATTTGATACAATTTGACTGAGGCATGATTCAAATTGCTTTAAAAAAAAATAATATATTTGGCGAGAAATATAATTTTATATTACATTTGATGTACCACCGTACCATACCAAAGTCGAGCAAGATTCTCGATGGCGGATATCGATTTTCGATTAACGCAAAGAACGATAATGCAAACGAGAGAGAAATGCAACGAAATTCAAAAAAATGTTATGCGCATTGACGATTTAGGAAACGTTCATAATTTATATATTTTATACGCTTCAATCGCGTATAAAATGATACATAAAAATTCGATGAATAATATAATTCATTCACGATAATATTCGAATGAAATTCACTCGAAAATTTCTGGTATTTTATCATAATTAAATTACTGAATGGAACAATCTTGGCGAGGATCGAATTAAGTGAAAATTATTTGGAATCATTGTTGGAACCAAATGTTCTAGTGGAGAGCATGCATGTTGCACTCATAATAGTTTTGAAGTATCGCGAAATCTATGTAAAGCAATTCGGTAAATGGATAACCGGAAATACGTGGGACCAAGCTCGGAAGATAACAGTTGCTGCGGTCGAGTTTGCGACATTTCAGCCAATGGGGATGTGTCGAGAAGGACTAGTGTTATTCGCGCTATGCCGAACCATTGGAGTAATTGGACTAATTACCCTACGCAATTATCCGGAATTAATCGAGATAAACCGCTTAATTAGCACCACGTTCGTTGTTGCTTGCTACAGTATTCGTTGTTGATTCCAACTACCTCGAAATATATTATAGATTATTCGAGAATCTTCATCTTGATGCTCTTCGTATCGATCTTGACTTTTCGAATCGATATTTCGTACGATGGTGAAATTTCTGAATCGATTTTCTTTTTCAAAATAAAATATTTCAAACCGTTTTAACAAAACTTAATTACGGTGATTCTAGGTATAATATTTGCACAAAATCAAAGCAGAAAATCAATTTTATTTCATAAATAAATTTTCATCTATAAATGCACGATAGAAAATACATTTTTATCTGCAACACGCCTCAAGATACGTTCAGAAAATATCCTAATTTACAAGGTCCTCTTGCTACAGCTAAATTAAATATTATTACAGAAATTTTATATATAATCAATTTTATTCCCTGATATTCGAATATTCAATATATTTTTGCATTAAGATTCAAATTTTCCATAAGAATTCACACGTTTAGTTTCTGCAACGATACCGATCACAATTCAATAAACTTCCAATGCTTTTTTCTAGTTTAACATCTGCACAACATAGCATCGCCGTTTAAGTAAATTATTCCGCAAAAGGAACCAACCACACTCGACTCGAGCGAACGAACAGGACGAATCGAATTAAAATCGTAGTTCGATTTCCGGCCGCGCTTAGTTTGCTTCGTCATCAGACAAGTTCACACGGCGAGTTTTCCGTAGTTGTTGGTTAACGTAGCCGTTTCCACACCGTTTTCGATTGGCCAATTAAGATTTACGCGTTCCCAGCAATGACACGACGATACTGCGCACGGTTCGACAGTTCCCATGAATTTATCGTTTTATCGTTTGTTCCTATGCCAGCCAGATATCCGCGCCAGAACGACGTGCCACGTTCCTCGATCGGATTTATTCGCTGCCGGGGGGGAGGGGGGGAAACAACATTCTGAACGCCATAAAGGAACGAGATAACGACACGATCATCTATCGGCATATGCGCAATATTTTTTCTTTTTATTTTTCTATTATTTTTTTTTTTTAATGTATTTATACGCATTTATGCGAAATTTGTACCATGTGATTTTTTATTATATTTTTGAAGACGATTTTTGAGAAGCTAGTTATCTGATTTTGGGAGATGAATATATCGATGTGTATAATAAGTGAGGAATAATTTTTCAGTTTTTTCTTTTTGATAGAAAATAATCGATTATAAAATTCTATTATATTTTAGCAACTTTCTCAATTTTATATCGAGTAAAACATCGGTTAGTTTGTAATTTTTAAAATTCACATTTGTAGATGCGTGTATTCGTTTCATTGGTAAGCTTGTACGAGAGTGGGAATTTATTATTAATTATAAATTCGAGAAGGAAATTTGCTAATAACTTTGGTTAATAATGTTCAAGAGAGCAATTCTGTGTTTAATTTTAAATTATACGATAATAATGGTGCAACAATATTAAAAAGCATAAACGCCATTAATTATTTCTTTCGCGTATTTCAATTTATATTCGAATTATATTTAATATTTGCTTGTAACTTGAAAAAAAAGAAAAACACGAATGGCATATTGGAGTTTTGACATAAAAAGGGAACTTTATGAATAATAGTAGACACCGGAAAGCATTTTCAGGAAAACTGAAAATATTTATATACGATATTTGCAGAACACGAGCCGTTTTAACCAAAAATATTTTTGTTCCTCCGTTTTACATCCCCCTAAAAAAGTTTCGAACCCCTTTGTTTTCTACTCCTGTCGCTCACAAAATGAATGCTTCGTTTACAGTTTTCATTTGAACGTATTGAAAAATACATGATAAAACTCAGACGACGAAACTGCAAGAATATTATAACAATTCCTTTGCTTTCCATTGCTACTTTATCATTTTAATTGGATTTAGTGACTTTCGTCCTTACGACGAAATTACAAATATTTCTATCTCCATTGAACATAAACATTTTTCTCTTGTTATTTTATCTTCGTTAATTAATACATTCTTTTATTAATTAAAAACAATAACGAATCATCAATACACTCACAATACGATTATATCTCTCGAATACTTTTTAAAATTGAAAAGAAAAAAAAGAATCACATTATTCCTATTCCAATCTCTTTCGTCAACTTCAATATACCATTCTCGATTACATTCAAGGTCAATTCCATTAATTTTGCGCAATTTCGCAAAAGTTCGTTAGTAAAAAAAAATTATACTTACCCGGCCAATGACGTGGCCGGAATAATTAAGACGGCCAAGTCGCGTCGAATATTAATAAAATCCCCCCCTTTCTCCCGCGTCGTAATTAACCCGGCAAAAAATTAATAAATCATTCACACTGACCGTTGACAATTATCTGTTCCAGAGCAACAGAAGCCAGCCAGCCATCGGATTGAAGCAGACGCCCAAGGCTCGGGTAAGTTTTTCCACCCCTACGTTGGGCAAAATCCACCTCCTCCGTTGCTACCCCTTTTTGCCACGCGGAAATTCAAATAAGGAGAACGATCTCGCCTCGAAACTAGTTAGCAGCAGCTCGTTAGAGGCTCGATCGATGCCCACCTCGACCGAGTTCCACCCGTACTTTTGACCAAACAACTTTTTCAAATCTCTTCCTTTTCCCAGCCTCCTCGAGGAAAGTTGAAATAGGCGAACGCAATCCCTTCTCTCTCTTTTTCTTTTTCTCTTCAACTTTTCACGTACGTGTACGTGCGCTCGTATATCTTCGCGAGGCAGCGAACCACGAAATCGGCGGGGAGGGGACGGAGGGACACGTAGTATAATTTTACGACTTTAGTTTCGCCAATTTCTCGAAAGTATCGGGGAAGGGGAAGGGGGGTTGAAACGACGTCGTCGAGACGTTTGTTTGTAATTTACGATCGTGGAATCGCGTGTCGTGCAATCGAGCATCCGGTTATTCAACGTTAGCTTGTCCCCTTGACGAAATCCTCTTGCATTTATATGGGGTGTATATATTTTAGAATCGACGATTTTCGGCTATTGAGAAATTATTCTAGTTCGATTCTCTTTATGAATTACTCGATAAAGTTGCTATCGAATAGAAATTGTAGTAATTAAAGCGATAAATAGTAAGGGGATAATTTCCAGTTTGATTATCATAACTGGTTTAAATTAATTAGCATTGTTTACTGTCGTATATATTTACCTTGAATAATAACATCGATTATTAATAAAATTCGATGATGGAAATTGAGCGATATTTACAGGGTAACTAATTAAATTTCGTAATTAAATGTAAAAATAATCGAAATAAGAAACTCGCGAAAAAATTGAAGCTTTTCCGAATAGAATCGATAAACTTTAATAAAGTTAATCGAACGAGGGATCTTTGCGAAGAAGGCGATTTTTTTTCTTTTCTTTTTCTTTTTTTTTTTTTTTTTTTTTTTTCTTTTTCTTTTTTTTTTTTTTTTTTTCTTTTTCTTTTTTTTTTTTTTTTTTTCTTTTTCTTTTTTTTTTTTTTTTTTTTTTTTTTTTTTTTTTTTTTCTTTTTTAAAGATCGACGACGAGGTTCGTAGGATCGTTGTGACGATCGTTCGCAGGCGTAACATTACACGCCTCGTGTTAGAGACAACCGGGAAGAGGAAGCGTACGGGCGAACAAAGCCACTAAATGACATACTCTATCCACGGGTGCACGTGACGCGTGCGCTCGGTTTTAATCCCCACTGGGCCTACTTATTCTGCCAGACAGACGGGGACAGTGTGGAACAAAGGGGGCAAAGGTTGGATATCTCTGTCTCTAGGTGGAAAAATCACCGGGAAAACAAACGGGAAGCTGAGACGGAAACGACCGATGGTTTGTTCGTTACAATGGGTTCGTGTGTCACGCGAGATAAGTTAATTGACGAGGATTAAATTATTAATTTTTCTCGATCGATCGATGATCGAGATCGTCGAACGACGAAGGGAAATAATTTTTCTCGAGAGAATTGTTAATATGTAGGGGAATTTCGTGGAGATTCTATCTTTTCTCGAACGATATAATTTAATTTTTTTTTATTCAGAATTTTAGTTTTTCTATTATAATATTTATAATCGATTATAATTCCAAGCTACATTTCAGTAAAATTCTTTTTGTTTCAGTTTTTGTATTACCTCATATTCCGTACACGGTGTATACTGCATATTCCGTGTCTCGTATACCACATATTCTATGCAGTAGAGAAAGTCTTTTTACTTTTCACTTTTCATCTGCTTCCTCTTTTTTAATCTTCCGCTTTTCCGCGCAAAAGCTTTGACACATCGCGCCCCAGCCAAAACCGTGTATCGATTACTTTTATGTAACGCGAATTTCAATAACTATTTAACGCGTTAATTTTCATGAATTATTATTACTTAATAATTCGTAGATATAAAATTTGTCGATAAACAAACTTTCTAAATATTTAATTCACACTCGAATATTAGGATTTCAATATTTAACTACAATATGGCAAAATGGCAATAAAAGGATAAATGTATCGATATGCCCAATTTAATTCGTGTAACTCAAAAATGTAATAGTATTACTCACAACACCGAACAAAACTAAAAATTCCATTTACGGCCATTGCCAGACAACAAAAGCTGTCCCTTAAATTGAATCAAATTACGCGAGTGAATCCCTCGATTTCACCAATCCGCCATCCGATCCATCATCCTTTAATTAACGTAATGATCGATGTGTCACTAAAATCTCGCTTCCCCCTCCTTCGATCTCGAATAAAATCGATCGATCGCTTCTCGAGATCACTCAATCATCGGAATCATTTGTCATCGTAGCCACGTTTCATTTTTCACCCACGAAAAAAAAAAAAAAAAGAAAAAAGAAAAAGGTTTCCTCGACTTTTCAATAGCGTTGTTTCGATCCGTTATTTCGTTCGAAATAATTTCCAGGGCCGTGGCGCGAACGAAAACCAAAGGAATGGCAACGTCCTACGGAACGACGCGAAATCGCGCGGTCCAATTTCGCGAGATTGCTTGCCGGGGCGACCTCTCTCCTTTGGGAGAGCCATCCTCGTGGAAAAGAGCTTCTTCGAGGGTGCTCGTATTTTTTTCCAACTCCTCCCCATTCGCGAAAAGGAAATGCGGCCTTCCTTCCTTCCTCGAAAAAGGGAACGCGCAGCCAATTCTACGATAGCCTACAATAGCCTGTCAGATGCAATCCGGATGGATTGTCTAACGCTCGTATCCTGCAATGCATTACCTTTAATACGCCATTCTTTCGGAACTGCCCACCATTCCTCGCCTAGATTTAATTTGTTGACGTTGCACGTATCGATTATGTGTATAACGGTGTGTACGTATGGATGTTTTGTTTCTCCATTAAAGAGAGTACTAGCTTTTTCTTTCTCTCTTTCTCTCTCGAGTATTTTTTGTTATTGTTGTTCGCGCGTTTCGTGCCATTTTTTACAATTTCTTGAACTGAACATTTCTTTCTACTGTATCTTCTCGAGACGTATTTTCGTCGTAAATAATCGTGTTTTCTTTCCACACAAACTGAGTTAGAAGAAAATTCCTCTTGATTACGAAAATTGATTAATATTTATGATAAATAAGTATCGAAAGAAGAAGGATTATACTTTAAGGGAAAAATAAAATTTCTCTTTGTTTACTCGATGTACCAACTAGCTTATCGTTACGAAGAATATAGAATGGGAAGGATAAAAACAGCATTCGTTTCATTTTCACAAAGTATAGAATTATCTCAAACCGTAATTAAGATTTCTTGAAATATAAATTGAATACTTTGTCTTCCTTTTGATGAACTTTATATTTGTCAAAGCATAACCTCTTCTCCTCTGTCTCTAATTATATACATTTTAATGGTCACAAATGCTTGTGTCTGTAAAATTTCAGAATATTCACCAGCAAAATTCGCGCGATATGCATATTTCACAATGCGTTAGAAACGTCGATTTTATACCTCGTTACATTTTACTGCTACTCTGAAGCATGCCCATGGATGTGGAAACGTCTCTGAATTATAACTACTGTGAACTCTACTAATTTAACTAGCCGATGAGGTGAGATTGTGCCCTGGAGGAAGCGCTAACCTTCATCAAAGTGCATATAACGCAAGGAGAAGATACACACGACAATGTCATGATTAGTCGTGACACTGATTTTTAATACTCGTGTCGATAAAACTCTTATCGAAATTTTCACGATTGAAATTTTCAATTAAATTTTCGTTATTATAATCTTACGGAAACCGATTAAATGTTTGATCCATAGAAAAATTAAATGCTTTGGAAATTAAATTTTGAAAATGTTTTTAACTAAAATTTGCTTTGTTTAACATACGTATACGTTTTCTTTTTATATTCTATCAGCAAGAGAATATAAAACACAAAGAATAATTTAATAATGGAAATTCAAAACAGAAATGAATTTTTTCTTGTTGAAAACATTCTAAAATAATATATATTTAGTTAAATTTCCTGTGCTTTTATTGTAGTTTTTTTATATCAAATCGTATATATATATCGATCCATTTAATGAAATTATAATATTCTGTTCATTGAAATTCTGTTTATCTTTTGAAAGATAAAATGATATATCTATCTCGAGAAACAATGTTCCAATTTTAAAACATATAATCAAAGAATATTTTATATACTTTCTCGAAACATTATTAAAATTTTTCATCAAGTTTATTCATTATATAGATACAAATTTAAATTCACTTTCAGGTTGCTATTAAAAAAGAAATAATAAAAATAAAAATGTAGGATTCATGATTAAATTTAAAAATCCATTTTAAATAATTTGACTTATGGAATCATAAAAAATATATCATTTCTAATATTATCAATTAATAACTATTAATCACTGACCAATCACTGCATTCGAACATTTCAAACTATGAATAATCGATTACTAACCACGTTTCTCGCTCACTTAATCCTTGACTTTCCTTCGCTTGACCTGTTTCATTCCCATCCAGTTCCGCAATCGATTTACGACCATACTAACTCAAAAGTGATCCATTATATATAATTTTAATATATTTGCCAGAGGAATTGAAAGACTTTGCATCGTTAATGATCCGCAACTACCATTTTTAAAATAAGATATCATTGCCTATATGCATTTCAGGAAAACGCATCGATTTTGAAACACAATTCCGTTGGTTTATCCGAAAATTCACGATATATGGACGATTTTGTTCGAACTGTGTTACCATTATCTTTTCGATTATGTTTCTCGTTTCCTAACCGCATCACGATACTAGACAATACATTTTGCGTGAATGCACTCTCGAAATACAACTGTACTGTAAACAATTTGGTCAAAATAAATAGGATATTTATCGATAAATATTCCATTCATTGTTAAATATGATCGATCATCGATCATTTTTTTTTTTTTTTGATAGAATGTGATTAAACAAAATTTTAAATATCTAGATTTCAAAGTTTTTAAATGGATTGTCATTTTCTATGAAACATTTCAATAATTTTAACGCCCTATATGCTTAATAATGAACAAATGGAAAAAGTAGGACAAAGGATGAAAAGATATTCGACAAACAATGTAATATTTATGATCAACGATTTTCAAGTAATTAAAATCATCCCACGAATGAAAACTTCGCGGAACAAAAAATTCATAGTCGATCGATAAGCTTCCCGAAATCGAATCGACGTACGTGCCACGAATAATTTGATTTCTTTCTCCCACGGGTTAAAAAGCGCGCTCATTCAACCGAAATAATGATCGTCGGTTTCGACGAGATATTCAAACTCGAAAATATCGAAGTAACAAAGAGGGCAAATTACGTTGCGAATTTTTTAGTTATCGAACATTTTCGCGCGCCAATTAGTAACCCACCAACGGAATATTCCACCAACGTTGCGAATTTCTTTTCTTTTTTTTTTTTTCCAACAATACTAATTTGACCGGCATTTTTTAATAAAAAGAGGAAATCATCGAGTTTCGTCGAATTTACGTACGTGAGAAACGATTCCAGTAATTGAAATCGGTATATAATCATCATGATCTTTTTAACAAACCACGAGGGAGAAAAAAAGGGAGAAAATGAAAGAGAAAAATGAAGAGGCATTTGCAAATATCGAATTTAAATTTACTTTACCCAATATGAATTATTCATGAGAACACGAACTCTAAACATTTTCACTATATATACCGAGTGTGTGATCAGCGAGCCCATCATGGG